GGGAAGACTGAGGAATCTGGGGATATTTCTCCTGGAAGACTTGATTTGGATGGGAGTGAGGAGGTACCTGTGAACTGTCTTTGGTCAGGGGCCATCATGGGTGAGAGGGAGTATCATGGACTCCAGCAGCAAATTGGGATCCATAATGAATGCTACAGAAAGGCTATAGGTGGAGCCTAAGAAATAATGTACAAAAACCCCATCATTCAAATAATGGAGTGGGAGCCTCAGGAGGCACTGCTCTTGCCATCTGCAGTGGTATTATTATTATTACTATTAATATTGTTATTAGTTGTTTGCCTAATAAGTGCCTAGTACTATGCATCATCTTACTTAATAAGGCAGTTAATTATATGTGAAGTTCTTGGAAGGGTCCCCGGCGTATGTGAGTGCTCAATACATATTAGCTGTTGTTACTGTTTAATCCTTACAACAACCTTGTTGTTGTGAAAGAGGAATCGTTTATTCCCACTTTAGAGATGAGGAAACTGAAGTTCAGGAGAGTGAGTGACTTCCCAGAATTGTACCACTAATAATTGGTAAGCCAGAATTTGAACCCATGACTGCCTGACTCCAAACTCACCATTACCCCTAAGGTTTAGTGAGTGGTTAGACCAGACACTTGGCAGGATGCTTCCCTGTCTAAGGCTCTGTTCCTAAACTGTGCCTTTTATCCATCTATGATCCCCTTTGTAAAGGATCTTAATGTTTTTGAAACCTCTAAATGAGAGGTGGTATCCTTCTGGAGACCTCTCAGTTATGAACTAAATTTCCCACCTATGTACGCTTAGGACCTGTCCAGCCGACATGGAGCAAGGTGATTCCGCCATCTTCCACTGTTCTCAAACTGCACGAAGAGCAGGGGTGGGAGGAGAGGCTCCAAGCTCTGCTGGTCCACCTCAGGCTTGGCACTGACTCCTGAAAGGTTTAGTCAGACTGTCTCCAGGCCAGATGCTCTCCCCTGATAAAGGAGAGCCAGCTTCATCTCTATTTCGGTGGGGGATCCTGGCCAAGGCATCTTACCTCTTTCTTATGTTGACCCTCAGCAGCAGTCTTTACTTTTTTAAGACTATTTCCTCCTCAGTTATATAAGGGCATCTTCAAGGAGAGGCAAATGCAGGAGTTTGGGGTTGAACAGATTGGGTTTGGGCCCCGTTGCTGCCTCTGCTGAGTATCATTAGGCACGTCATTTAACCCACCTGGACCTCAGCCACATAATTTGAAACACTGGTATCCTAACACCTATTTTTCAGGCAGTCATGAAGATTAAGATGATGCATACCAAGGTGTCTGGCACAGAGTAGGTAGGTGTTTAATAAATGGTAGCTTTATTATTACTCGAACTGTGTCACCAGACCACATTTGATGCCTGAAACCTAATTTTATGGTTTAGAAAACATGCCTTGTGAAAAAAGAAAAGCAACTTAGATTCATTCAGCTAATCTTTTTTGGATCCATCATTCATAACTTATCCATTAAAAAAATGGAAATGAAAACAAACAATGTACTTTAAAAAAAACAGCCGAGCTACTTGGTTGAAAGAAACATTTCAATGTAAACATGAATAAAAAATACATGGGAGATGTTTGCAAAGATGGCTTATATATTTTTTTAAAGAAAAACTTAAAAGAAGACCTCCCCGTTGTTGGGAGTTAGAATAGAGGCAGGCATGGATGACAGGTCAAACTGGGAACAGGGTGTTGGAAACTGGACCCAGTTCCTGGGAGGAGACAGCTGCACGGATGCAGATCTGAGCAGCTGGCACCAGAGTGGCAAGGGTTGTCCAGCCTGATATAGAAGGAGGACAGACAGCAGGCGGAGGCCTGGTTAGCCTCCCATTGTTGGGATCCTGCTTAAAGGGATGCGGTGTCCTGCTGACAGGCAGCCAGTGGACCATGCACACTCCCCCCAGATCCCCAGAAAGGGAACAAGCATCATCTTTCCACACAGCCCCAACCTCTAAACTAGGGTTTGGAGACTAGCTACTGGTTCTTGTGTATAGGAAAAGGGCGTGGGAGAAAGGATTGCTAAGGAGGCAGGATTTGGGGAGGAAGATGAGAATTTAAGCCATACAGACCTGGACTGACGTTCATGTTTTATCACTTTCTAGGGGTGTGACCCTGAGCATATCGCTTTCTAAAGTCTCTGCTATGTTTCTTATAAGTTGTTTACCACAGTCCTGGGACTTGGCATCTGCCAATGCATTTTATTCCCATTAATAATAATAAGAACAGTTATTAACCTAGCCACTTCTCCCCACCTCCTCTGCTTGTAGTCTGGTTCTTGTTACCGTATGTGGCTTATTGTAACAGCCTCCTCACTGGTCTCTCCGCTTCCTGCCAACAACTCTTTACTTGATAGGCAGATCAGATCACATCACTGACCCACTCAGTTCCCCCCAGTCGTTCCTCACTTCGTCACGTGCAAGCCAAAGTCCTCACAATGCCCAGGTCCTACCTGATCTCGCCTGCCTTTGACCTTGGGTACTACTGCTTTTCCCCTTGCTCACTCCACTCCAGCTATACTGGCTTCCTGACAGTTCCTTGAACATGCCAGGCACACTTCTATCTCAGAGCCTCTGCCCTTGCTGTTCCTCCACCTGGAACACTATTTGCATGTTTTGCTTACTTACCTCCTTTAGGTCTTTGGTGAAGTCATCTCAGTATGTCCTTCTGTGACCTCCCTGTTTCAAACTGCAGCCCCACCCTGTCAGTCTCAGTCCTCTTTCCTGCTTTATTGTTCTCCATAGCACTTTTCATAAACTGACATACTAAAATATCTTCTTCTTCTTTCTGTTTATGTCTCTCTATCTCCACTAGAATGTCAATTTTATGAGGGCAGGGATTTTAGTTTGGCTTGTTTATTTCTGTATCCTCCGCTCCTAGGACACCGCCCAGCACAGAGTAGACACTGCAAAACATTGATTGAAGCAATGAATGATTATTATAAAGCAAGAGGCTGAACTCCAGGTTTAGAAGAACATGGAGTGGAGACTGGTAACCAAGACAGTAACTCAGACCCAAGGAAGAATGCCGGGGATCCAGTTACCCAAACTGGAACACAGGCCAGAATAGGATCTGGGAACCAGAGGGATGCCCAGACATCAGAAATGGGGCATGAGATCACAGCTTGGCCTCGAGCCAGACTGTTGGAGAGTGAGATTGGAGCTCCTTGGGTCAGGGCTGGTCCCAGGCCAGGTGTCTAGAGGCCAGGTCACCTCATAGGTGGAGACAAAGAGGCTGAAAGGTAGTTGCCAGGCAGGGCCTTCAACCACTTGGTAAATGTCAAGCAAAGTTATTCCAGCTTTCAACTTATTCCCAGATGTAGGTGTCAGCGGATACTCCATATTGGCATGGCTTACAAGGAAAACACAAATGACTAAGGGGAAAAAAAAAGGAAAAAAGTGAAAATGCTCATTCAGAAACCTGAGCTGAGGAGTTGAGGAATGGCAGATGCTGGAAGCCTATGACTAGGGGATATCTGTGATGTCAAGATACCAGCTGAGGGAGCATCTAGGGATTACATTGTCCTCTGGACCACTTTTTTTTTTTTGGTGGAGATGCACAAGTGAGCTCTGCCCTTGCAAACCCTCCAGCTTGGAAAGGTTAAGTGGAGCCTGGGAGGTGGTGTCTGCAGAAGCCTAGAAAGAGGAGTTGGACAGGGAGAATTTGGCTTGGTTTCCCCAGAACTGTCCAAGCTACTTTCCAGGAGTTGGGCTCGGCCTCTCCTCTCCATCTTCATGCTTCCTGATAATAACATAGCATATGATTCAGGGCTGCCCCTGCCTCACTCCAGAAGAGCGAGTCTGTGGACAACGTGTGGTCCAGCTCCTTCACTACATGCCCAAGGGAACCAAGGTCCAGAACAATTCAGAGCCAGGGCAGCTAGTTTCCTTCCCACAGGGGAACCTGTTCCCCATCCTGACTTCCACTGCACTGTGTACAGAGCTCTTGCTGGCTCTGGGTTTCAGTCCTCTCTCAGTAGTTCTGTGTTCTTCAGTAAGCTATGGAACCTCTCTGTGTATTGGTCTGTAAAGTGAGGATGATGAACACAGTATTGGTTCCTAGGGCTATTGTGTGTGTTCCATAATAAGGCAGGTAGCAAGTGTTCAGTGAAGGTTAAATTCCCAACCTTGTTAACAAGGTCATCCATATTGCCCACAATGGTTGGTTCAGGCTCAAGGAGGTTTTCTGATTTGATGTCCTATTGTGTCCCCCTTATTATTCACCTCTTGGGATTTTGTATTTTCATGACCACCACGGTTCCTATTCTTCAAGCTTGGAGAGGTACACGGGGCCTGAGGCTCTAGGTCAGATTACAGGACTGCTTTGCTTAATTAAGGCTAGCCAGTGCAGCCGGTGCTACCTGGTATAGAGAGGGCCAAGTCGAGGGGAGCATGGATCCGCTCTGGCCTGAGGACTGTACTCCGACCTGGGGAGGCGGGGGTGGGAGATTTCTAGGGCGGAGCCCCCTTCGGGAATGGGGACGTGGGGAGGTCAAACGCCTGGAGGGGGCAGTAGCACACGCAAGGTGAAGACCATATTCTCTTGGGGTTGGCAAAGGGCGGCTCAGTCTGGTGGGGAAGGAGGGGGCTTTCAGCCAAGCCCAAAGGGCTGGACACCTTAGCACCAAGGGGCGTTCGAACGCCGTTGGCATCTTTGGCCACCCCTTCGGGCTCAGTCAGGGTCCCTTAGACACCCGCGCAGAGCAGGGGAGTGTAGGCTGCAGGTGCCTCTAGGACGCCTCAGTGGCGCGCTCGCAAACCAGACGTTCCCAGCCAAACCTCCAAGAAGCAGTCCCAAATCACCGTGCAGGTGCTACAGGAAGCGCTCGGAGAAGCGGCGGCGGCCACTGCGTGTGCCAGTACGCCGTCCTCGTTCCCTCAGCCGCTATACCCGGGCCCTAAGGTCCCGGGCGGTCGCGGGCAGCCCGCGCGGCGGAGGGCCGGGGGCGCGTGTGTGCGTGTGCGGGGAAGGCGGCCCTCCCCGCGGCCGCCGCAGCGCCAGTGCCTCCCCTCCCGCGGCGCGCACGGCCCGTCCCTGTCCCCGGAGGCGGCCCGAGCCGCCGCGGAGCAGCCTCGCCTTCGCCTCCCGCGTTTCCTACCGCCCGCCCTCCCCCGGCCGGGCTCCAGAGGCTGCCGCCGAGCGGCTCCCGGCGGGAGAGCGGCTCAGAGCGTGCACGGGGGCGGGCGGAGGCGGCCCGGTTCGGGGCAGCCGCGCTGGAGAGAGGCGCGCGCGAAGACGCCGGCCCCCCTCTCCGCGTTCGCTCGCTCGTTCCCCGCCTCCCGCACTCCGCTCGTTCCCACCCCTTCCCGGCGTGATTGATCCGTCACGGGCGCCGCCGCTGCCGCCGCCGCCGCGGCCGTTCTGAGCCGAGCCGGAGCCCGAGCCGGAGCCGGAGCCGGGGCCGGCGCCATTGCGCGGGCGCCGCGGGGAGAGCTTGGCGCGGGGCGGCGGGCCGGGCCAGGCCATGCGGGCCGAGTGAGCCGGCGCCCGCAGCCCGCGGCGCGGCATGGCTTCCCCGCCGAGCTCCGGGCAGCCCGGGCCGCCGCCGCCGCCGCCACCGCCGCCCGCGCGCCTGCTGCTGCTCCTGCTGCTGCCGCTGCTGCTGCCGCTGGCGCCCGGGGCCTGGGGCTGGGCGCGGGGTGTCCCCCGGCCGCCGCCCAGCAGCCCTCCGCTCTCCATCATGGGCCTCATGCCGCTCACCAAGGAGGTGGCCAAGGGCAGCATCGGGCGCGGCGTGCTCCCTGCCGTGGAACTGGCTATCGAGCAGATCCGCAACGAGTCGCTCCTGCGCCCCTACTTCCTCGACCTGCGGCTCTACGACACCGAGGTGAGTGTCGGCCGCCCGTGCCGTCGGGGCTGTGGGGGCGATGGGGGAGGGCGTGTTGGACAGAAGCAAGCTTTGGCCCATGGGTAGAGCCCTGATTGAGCCTGCCGAGGGCACCGCGCGGGCTGGGGCTCAGTGCTTACCCTCTGGGTCCCGCCGGGCTTGGTTGGCACAGCCGGTACCAAGATTTGCTGAACATCTTCCTCCTCTGGGATTGTATGTGTGTATAATGCTTGTGGGGTGTGGGATAGAAGACTAGGGTGGAGAAGGTGGTAACTGAACCTCCCCAAAAGCCTGCAGTGGTCGCCCCTGCCCAGGTCCCCGCTGGTGGGGCTGTGGAGTGCTAGGTGGGAAGAACAGGCGCATTGACTCTAAACTGGGCCATCCGGGGCTAGAGAGGCCACGGGCCTGCTCTCGAATCCAGGAAAGCCGAGCTGTGCTTTGAGATCCGGAGGACTCGGGGACCCGAGGGGCTGGAGGGCGCAGCAGGGCTGGACGAGCTCGGAGCCAGTACTACTCAGGCCGGCGTGGGGCCGCCTGCTCTGCAGCGCTGCTGCCTGCATGTATCCGGCGCTGCCTATGGCCCGAGCGGTTTTCTGAGGAGACCCCCTCGGGCTGGTTGATCAGAGAGTGCCCTGATCAGGTCTCGCCCCGGGCGCGCAAGGGTGTGCAGCCGCGCCGCTGCTGGTGGCCGGGCGGCTGCAGGCGCAGATTCTCCGGGCGCAGACTTGAAGCACGGACTTGGAGCGCAGCACCCGGTTTGCCCTCCCTGCCCCCTTCTCTGAGGGGAGCCGAAGAGCCGAGAGCTTTCCATGCCAAGCCCCCTCCTCACACCCTCAGCTTGCATTCCGGCTGCAGCAACAGTGCACACCTTCACCGCCCGCCCGAGGGCTGGGGTGCGCCTAGGGGGCTCAGGGGAGGGATCGCGGGCCGCGCGAGGTCGGGTTTGCGAGTTTTTCGGGACTGAGGGAGCCCTTACGCTCCGGCCGCAGCATCTGAGACGCGGCCTGAAGAGGGCAGTGATTTCCTGTGCAGTACGCTCGGTTGGCGCCTCTTCCACCGCGCCAAAGCCCGGCCGAGGCGCTGGGCTTGATTGACCCGGCTTCCTGGAGCTCCTTGGGCGCTTCTGCTCGAGCCCTGGTGCAAACCCCTTTCTGAGAGCAGGGTCGCGCTGCCGCGTTGGTCGTGCAGCCTAGGCTACACTTCCTTCTCTGTGTGCCCCCCCCTTTTTTTGGTCCCCGGAGAAAGAACAGAAATCTGGATTGCATCTTATTCCCCACCTCTCCCCTTCACTGATGAACCAGCCTGCTCTGCGCTGTAAATAAAAGGTGAAGAAACGGGTGGCAGTTGGTGGCGGTGCACGCAGGCTGCTGCAAGCAGAGAAGCTTCCTCTGCCCCAGGAGGATGTAAGCTGGGTAGCTGTGCAGAGCCAACCCGTGTGGAATCATTTCTGAATGACATTCCTGTCTTCTCCAGAACATTTCAAGTTCTCTGGGGTAGTTGCCTGGCACACATAAACGGGAGGGCAATGCAATTATACCGAACCATGTCTTCTGGATACTATTTCTCTGGCGCTCCATCTATATCTATCTATCTATTTTTGTTTTGGAAAGGACACGGAGAGCCGGTTCTTTGGAGACAAAACCATTTATGGACAGGGCAGCCCTGCTTGCATCATCACCAAATATTGTCAGCTGCATAATGTTTTCACCATCAATTTATTCCCTTCAGAAAGCTTCCCTGAAAGAGATTTCATATTAGCTTGTTAGTAGCAGCAAAGGGAAGGGTGCTCAATTTCAGGGTGTGGGTTGATGCTTTTATATTTTATTTTTCAAGTGTGTCTTGACTTTCTGAGTGAGAGGGGGCCTAAAGTCAAGAGGATGAGGCAGTCAGAAGGCACTTCAGCTCAGGGGAAGGAGGGCAGAGGGTATAATCTCAGCCTCACGCAAGCAGGGAAGCATATCTCGCCATTTGAAGGGGCACCGAGCATGGGCTTTGGGGTGGCTTTAACCTGGCTTCTGGTCAGAAACCTAGTATCTTCCCTGTGGGTGACCTTGAGCAAGGTATTGATCTCTCTAAACCTAGATTTCCACTTCTGAAAGACTGGGACTATTATATGTACTCCCCAGGATGGTATTGTGATGCTTAAGGGAGATAGCAGGCTGGAATGGAAAATGCCTTGAGCTGGCAGGTGCAGCGGCCAGTGCTCTGTCTGGCATGCTGTAAGCACTAAATAAACGTTTCCTGCCTTCCTTCCTTCATTTTCCTCTGGTGTGGATTCACAAGTAGGACATTGTGACTTCAGATGTGATAAAATGGTCACAACTAAAATATTGACTGCTTATTTGTTTTGCTCACTTCTGAAATCTCATGAAGGCTCAGTGAAGTTACCACCAGAAAAAAAAGAATCTTGGCTTACAATCAAACAAATATGTATCTCTTGCCATGAAGTGTCACGGTTGGGAGAACACCCGGGTGATATAATACTTAATTTTTTCAACTGGTCCATCTTTAGAGTACAGGTACTTTCTCTCTAAGCCGAAGTAAAGGATCAATCTGGGTAATTGCAGCAGAATCCACAGTGATCTAAAGGGTGTTTGGGGCTTGTGTTAGAGTGTGTGGACCCTGTTTTATTCAGATAGGATGTCTTTATGGATTGTGTATACCCCCTTGTCACTTGCTGGGTGTGTCACTTGTTGTCTGTAGACTTGAATGCAGGATGGATGTGGTGAACACATTTTGGCTGGCTTTGCTAACATTTGCTGTCAGTCAATGGCCAGAGACAGTGGGCAGCCAGGGTGGACCTCTGTCCACACAGTCTTCAAAGAGATGGAGATTTAGCAAAACATGGGTGATCTGATCATTGGGACTAGCCTGTCTCAATAAAGGAGCCTCCTGCACACACTTATTCAGTTGCCCCTCTCCTGTAATTAGAATAGCAATAAAGCATTCAAAGCCCCACTCAGTGCCATGTGTTTGTAAAAATGAAACATCCCAGCAGAGCATCTGCTAGGCAGGACCTCTCTTCTCTGGTGTACCTCAAATCACATCAGCAAATACTTCTTTATGTATTCCAAGGAAGATTTGAGTATATAAAAACACAAGCAAGACAATTGAAAAAACAGATAAAAGGAAGCATCAGAAACCACATAGAAGCATGCAAGTTACCGAACCCAGAACCTGGGCTAAGATGGTTACTGCATTTTTGTAAATTAAATTTTAGCTCTGAGCCTCCTGGCAGTCAAGGTTAAAAGGTAAACATGGTAGATTACATTACTTACGTGTTTGTTTAAAAGACTCTGAGGGACAGTGTCTTTTTTTTCCATAAAAGTTTTGCAGGTTCAGAAATGTTCTTCATGTGATTGTTTCTCATTCTTTGGTAGCCACATTAATAAAAGTAAATAATAACCAAGGGATGAGTTAAAAAATAATGTCAGCTTTTCTGATTTGATTAAAGTAATTTTCATTTTGGAAAAATAGAAAATTGTAGAGAAGCATTGAAAAAAATTGTCTATAATCCACCTACACAAAGGTAATTGCATCAAATAATTAGTATTATTCCCTTCCAGTTGCTGGTGTTTACTATTTTGTGTGCTTGAAATCTCTATGCACCCTTTTATATTTTGTTTCATTCAGTTAATGTTATAGCATGGTTATTTCCCCATGTCCTTAAATCTTCTTTGCAAAGATGAATTTTAGTGGCTATTTACTATTCTATCCTATGGGTGCCCCATAAGTATTAAATCATTCCCCTACTGTTGGATTTATATGTTTTCCCCTTGTTACTATTTTAAATTATTCTGTAATAAACTTGGGAAAAGTTCAGGGAGCCAAAGGAGCACATTCCAGGTGTGCACCTCTCAGAAGGTCTACCCTGTTGCAGGCATCCAGCTTGGAAAACCCAGAGAAAACCTAGTGATCGGTGAGCACATCCTTTTCTTGAGTGGTTTTGCCAAATATCTGTTCTCTCATTCATTGTGCTTTAGAGAGGACCTAAACAACTGTTGGATGGAGGCCGAGCTTTTCAGGAGGTCTGAGTACAGCTTAGTAGCCATTGGGCACCTACTGCAGTTGCTGGTACTACAGAAAGGCGTTAACCCAGCACTGGGCTCAGGAGAGGAGCTGGTGCACAGGGCAGAACAGAGCAAGCACATGCTTGTCATTTTCAGTGCAAGGTAGAAAGTAATCTGTCTTGATGGTTGCACATTTCTGTGACTATACTAAAAACCATAGGACTGTAGACTTTAAAAGAATGAATGTTATGGTGCGTGAATTGTATCTCAATATAGCCGTTCTTAGAAATAAAGAGATAGAAAATGAGCTCTTTTAGAATCAGGCTCACATCTTTGTGGTTATACCCCATTGCCTTGCATGGTACCTCACCCTTAGTAGTTGTATTGCTTAGGAACCTTGTTACAGGTGACAGAAACCTAATTTTAACTGGTTCATGTGGCTGAAAAATCCTGGAGTGGGCTGTATTCAGGTATGGCTGAATCCAGTCCCTCTCTGTTGCTTGGCTCTGATTTCCTCTGTGTTTGGCTTCACCCTCAGTCAGGCTCTCCCCATTTGGCTGTACAGATGGCCCCTAGCAGCTGCAAGTTTACACACTCCCAGTTTAGAAACTCCAGTAAGAAGAGTGTTTCTTTCCTGACGTTTTCAGCAAAAATTCCAAGCTCAGCTCTCATTGGCTTGAGTTGGGTCATGTGTCTATCCCTGAACCAATAACATGATGCTGACGGGCCTGGGATATCCGCCAGCCTTTCATGGAGGAAGAAGGAGGTGAGGCCAGCCCCACCCAACCACATGAATACAGAGTGGGGAAGAGGTGATTCCTCGAAGCTCATCAGAGGCTGTTAAAGGCGGGTGGATGCCAGGTGGGTCTGATCACAGATATCCACTTGGGGAATGCTAAATTCAAGAAAGAAGCAATAGATGCCAGGGACATTAGGAGAAAGGTAAGCTCACATCTAGGTCTCCTGGAGGAGAAGAAGTCAAGATGAGTC